TAGGACTATTGATGGAGCCAGCTTCTGGGAGAGGAAATCCAGGAAACTGGGAGAACCTGTTGCTCTGAAAGAGGCTCAAAGAAACTTCAGCTCCCTTGGGGGAAACATAGGCGCCGATTCGCCGACTCTGTGGGTGCTCTGGGGCTGGGGCACCCACGGGGGAAAAAAAATGTGGGTACTCAGCACCCACCTGCAGGCCCCGCAGATCAGCGCCTGCCCCTTCCCCTCAGCGCCTCCCACCTGCTGGTGGCCCCACCGATCAGCTCCTCCCCCTCCCTCCCAATGCCTCCGGCCCGCTGCAGTCAGCTGTTCAGCGGCGTGCAGGAGGCGCTGGGGAGGAGGGGGAGGAGCAGAGGAAGGAAGAGGCAGGGGGGATGGGGTGGGAAGAGGCAGAGCGGGGGTGGGGCCTGGGACGGAGCGGAGGTCGACCTTCCCCCCGGCATCTGAGTAAGTTGGTGCCTACGGCGGGAAAGATCAATTTAGTCTGAGAAGAAAAGGATTGAATTAACTGACGTCAGAGTGTTTCCTACCTTGTATTTCTGAGCAGCCTCTTCCATGAGCAGCACTCTGTGAGATCTGTGCTGGGGGGATCTCCAACAAGCCACACACACGGCTTCCCCATCCTCCTCGCAGAACAGGTCAAGGTTCTCCTGGTGTGTCTCACACAGATTCTCTTTGCTAGGATTTAATTCCAGTTGTCGAATTTTCCCTACTATATTCCCCAGCTGCCAGTTGTGCCGGAGGTTCCCTTTCCGGATCCGGTGTCTGCAGACGGGACACTCCAGGGGGCCATATTCTTCCCATTTGTCACAGTAGTTACTGATGCAGCCCTGGCAGAAGTTGTGCCCACAGTCCATGGTCACGGGGTCCGTTAGATACTCCAGGCAGATGGGACACTTGGTTTCCTCTTGGATTCCCTGTACAGGAGCCGCTGAGGCCATGGCCGCTGGGATCACCAATGTGTTTTCTGGCCTCTTCCTTTAAGCCACACGTGGATGGGAGAAAAAGCTCAGTGAGAGGTATATGGGGGAAAAGTGGGGGCATGACAGGGAGAAGTTGAGATAAAGTTGGTTGGGATTGAAGAAGAGAACGGGCAATGCCTGTTTCACACTCGCTCTGGAGAACTGGGTGTCTCTCCATAATGGGGGCTGTAAGTCTCTCTCTGCCACGAGCCTTTCTTACTTCCTTCTGCACCAATGTGTGTCCACACCGGCCCTCTCCACTTGCTAAACCCAGACCGATCTGAGCCCCTCTCCTTTTAGTGCACAGAAGCGGCTCCCTCAATGGAACTGACCCAGTGAATAACCCAGTGCACCTCTTGCTACAGCCTGTCCCAGCTGTACTAGAAGGAGAGAGCCTGAAACATGGGGCCTGGTTCAAGGCCTGAGGCCTGAACTAAAGTGAGCAAAAATCAGGTCCTGCTGATATAAAGCAAAGTTATCAAGAGAACTTTGGAAGACAGGATCCTGGGCTAGATGGACCTTTGGTCTGACCCAGTATGGCCGTTCTTATGTTCTTCCAACAGTGGCCAATGCCAGGGGCCCCAGCAGGAATGAACAGAACAGGGAATCATCAAGTGATCCATCCCTGGTCGCCCATTCCCAGCTTCTGGCAAACAGAGGCTAGGGACACCATCCCTGCCCATCCTGGCTAATAGCCCTCGATGGGCCTATCCTCCATGAATTCATCTAGTTATTTTTTGAACCCTGTCGTAGTCTTGGCCTTCACAACATCCTCTGGCAAGGAGTTCCACAGGTTGACTGTGCATAGTGTGGAAAAAATACTTCCTTTTGTTTGTGCTGCATTTCACTCCTATCTGCACGAAAAGCCAGGGGGGCTTGGGGGAGAAAGTCCTTGTGAGGATTCCCTCATGGAGATTCCCCCAAGCTGCCCAATGAGGAGGGGGTTTTATCCCCATTTAAAAGGCCACGGAGCC